AATAATAAATTTTCGTCTATTTGAAAATGCTTTTGTTTAGTCTACTTGATAGTTTGTAATATATTTTTCATTTTTTTTTTTAAAAGATAGATTATATGCGATTTTCTTTGTTAGATTCAAAAAATCCATCTTAAGATCTGTTAAATATATGATTTTCATTTTAGTTTATTTACCGCTACGCCTCGCACACAGATACACCAACACTGAGGCGTAGGCCGCTTTTGAGTGCCAGCTCAGCTGATGACGAATTCTCTCTCGTGCCGGCGGCGTATTTGCTATTTTTATGCATTTCCTTTTATTCAATCAACGAAATTGTAGTGCAAGTTGTGGGGTGAGAAAAGCAGCAACCAAAACAACAACGACAGCGATGGTGCAACAACAACGAGAGCGCCAGAAACAGACGCGCCATTTATAGAAGTCATCTGTCAAAGAGAGGCAGAGCGGAGAGGGCGCGCAACTTCCAATCGGGAATAACTGGAAAGCTTGAATGAGCATGAGAGAGAGCACGTGGGAGAGGCCGTAAAAGCTTGGGCCCACATGTTTTTCGCTACGTCTGGTTTCCGTTTCGCGGAACGAACGAAAACGAAACGAATAAGCAAACCCAACGAAGACCATGGCTGTCTCGCTCTAACGTCATGCAATTACCCCTACCTAAGAGAGAGAGAGCACATGCTGGGAGAGCGGCTCTCTCTAGCAACATTTGTGACGACGACGACGACGCCGGCGAATATTGAAAAACTTTTCGTATTGGAACTGTTGCTGGCTTCTTGTTGGAAAAAAGTACAGTCACCGCAAAAGGGGCCGTCTGTTGTGTGTTGTTGCTCTGCCTTTTTTTTTCCTTTGCTTTGTTTACATATATGCTTTTGCTTTTGACTTTGCCTTTTGTTTACTCTCACACCGATATAATATTGTGGTGGATTTTTCTTTAGCCGGCATTTTTCCCCCAACAAAAACAACTATAATTGCGATGGCAACGACATTTTCTTATTAGCCAAGGCCTCAACTTGCCGGCTAGTGAACGCGGTTTAGTGCGAGTGGGAGGGGGAGGGAAAGAAGGAGAGAGAGGGAGAGAGAGTGCCATATGATGCGCGAATTGGACTTAAGAACAAGTGCATTCTGATTCTGATAAGCAAAGTTATGCGAAATTCTTGTTGGGAAGTTATTGCAATTGAAGTTAATTTAAATCTGCATGTTTAATGTTCATGAAGCAATAATAAATATAAATATATTTAGTTTAAATGCTGGATAACTGTGGAAACATCTTTAAAATTGGTTTATCATTTATTATAAAACTATTTCTGTACTATATTTATCTCCTTATATGATATACCCAAAAAAAAACATCGTTTGTCTTTCCATTGGATCATAGTTTTATCAGACAAAGCGGCAACACTTTTCTTTATCTTTCCAATAGTTCCCATACCATATGTCTGCGACCATTTCCAATAGACAAGTCAATGAACGACCTTTGTGTGTAACAACAACAACAACCGCAGCAAGAAAACTTAAATATGCTATGTGATTTATTCTCGCTTTTGTTGCTCTATTGTTTTTGTTGTCGATTTCTTATAAGATATGCGCACGACATTGCAATGCCGCCGTCGGCGATGGAAATAGATATAGAATAGTGTAGAGGGGGGTGAGGAGGTGATGAGATTGAAAACCGCTTGGGTACTTCTAGTACTACTACTACTGGAAGCAACAATAATAAACCCAAGAAAACTGTACACACATTTGCTCTCTCTCTCTCTCTGAGTTGCAATAACAACAACAAGTACACAGATGAGGTACGGAACGGTGTGAAATTACAGTCAGAGAGGGGAAGGGAGAACCAGTGAGAGAGGGAGAGGGAGAGCGCGAGAGCAGCTGTGCGATGCCGGCAGACCAAATGTTGTTGTTGCCGTCCCGGCTGGCCATCTTTTAGTTGTTATTATTGCTTTTTAGTAGTGACCTCCGACAACAAACCGAAATCGAAACAAGTTTTCCAGCAGCAGCAACAACAACAACAGCAACAACAAGAACTGCACTAAAGCAGCATAAGATTTATGGTTTTTTAATCAAAGCCTGAAGAATGCAAACACATTCCTTTGGCATTTGTAGAGAGAAAAAGTTCAGAATTTTTACGATTTCTGCGGTTCTTTTCTAATAGAAATGTCATTCAAAGCTGTGGTTTTTTGGGATACGAATTTAATTTAATATTTAAAAATGTTTTGTATTCAATAAGGGATAATTAAAAATAAAGAGAGGTTTTATGGAACTCATTTCCATTACCTTAATTAAAGATACATTTTAGATAGCTATTTATAGTTTTTTTTTAAGAGAAACAAAAGATGATACCAATCTATAAATGGCTTTATAAGAAGGGTTTACAATATTTTGTTTTAGTTGTTTTTGTTTGTTGCTGTTATTAAAATATCTTTTTTATGTTTATCATTAAGAAATACCTGTTTAATTTGTTTGTTATGAGAACTCCCCATTTTCTCTATTAATAATCCTAAAAACATTGTTAGTTCAACAGAATATGTGGCCTACATGTACGCCCACGCTGATTTCCTTTATGACTTTGCCACTTTCTAAGCCAGATTTCCATCTTTACTGCCTCCTCGATCCACATTTCTCCTTTATATGGACATATGTATGCACTTTTACTTCCCACGCCTTTTTTGCAGGCCAGTGTTGCACAAAGCCTGAAATGAGGAGCGCGCGCATTTTGAAGGACACGAGTTCCTTAACCTTTTCGTCGAGCCAGCTTGTTTTGCAGCCTTACTACACTATTTACTATAAACATTGCGAAAAGGCAAACAAAAACAGTCAAGGCAAAATGCAAAATGCAAAAGCAACAAGCCAGGCTATTTATGTGCGGTGTGTTGTTGCAATTAAGTCTGCTCTCGGCAATTATGCTTCGTCTTCGTCCTCATCCTCCTCCTTCTTTTTCCCCTTCTTTTTCTCCTTCTTTTCCTACGCTCAGCTGAAGATTCCCCATGTGTGAATCTTCTGAATGTTGTGTGAGTGTCTTCTGAATGACTTTTATTGTGGGGCGAGAAAAAGAGAGGCCCTGATTAAAGGGTTAATAATTTCCTCAACTTAATGATCTCACATAATATTTACCATTCCAAAAATATACGAGATGTAATCATACAAATCATTGGATTAAATGGAAAAGGGAAATGAAAGTGGGGAACGATTTATAGACTTCATAAAAAAGAAGTTCCAACAAGAACTATTTTTTTTTCATTTTACTCGCAAAGATAATATATTAAAGTACTTTAACAATTTTATCATTGAATTATTTTTTACTTCTTAACTTACTAACCAATAGTACAACATACCATTATATTAGTAAACATACTTCTTAACTTACCAGTAAAATACCAAACCATGAGCCATTTACCCCTTGCTTGTATCTCAACTCAATTAACTCTATTTGAACCCTGGCCTAACCACTCGTTCACTTTTCTTTCCAGGCCGCCATCCTGCAACAGACCTTCCAATACATCGTGGAGCTGGAGAACCAGAAGACGCAGCTGCTCACGCAGAACAGCGAACTGAAGCGACAGGTGGGCGAGCACGAGGCCGGAGGCGGAGGATCCGGCGAGGGTGGTGCCAACTCCGGCGGAAACTACAACGATTCCAATGCCAGCGGGGGCAACTCCACGGCGGTGGCCATCAAGAAGCGCAAGCTGACGGACAACGTGATCAACATCCAGGCGATTAGCGACAGTTCCGACGAGGGACTGGGCTCCATGTCCCCGGAACCGATGACCCTGCTGACTGCCGGCGGTGCGGCGGCCACCAAACTGAACAACGCCACCCTACTGGCGGCCAAGGAACTGCATGAGTCGAAGAAGCAGCTGGAGAAGGAGCGCAGCCTGCGGCGACTGCTCGAGGATGAGCTGCAGATGATCAAGAGGCAGCTGTACAGTGTGGCAACCGCACCACCCGGCACAGCGGTGGCAGCCGCATCCGGAGGAAATAGTGGCGCCTACATTCCACGCGAGGTCATCGAGCACACCGATAACTTTGTGCGCACCGAGGACTTGGAGGAACTCGGCGGCACTGTCTCGTACGTGGAGATCGATGAGATGACCGGTCAACAGCAGGTGGTCGTCTGCTCTAGCATCGAGGAACTAGAGGCCGATGCCGCTGCCGAGATCATCACCGAGGATCAGGTGCACGAGGAGGTCATCCTGTCGTCGAACAGCTCCACGGAGTCCGAGAACGAGGTCAATGTGAACGCAATTGCCAAAGCCTATGCCGAAGGATGCACGTCGAGTGCTGCGATGCTGCAGCCCATTCTGCAGGCGGCAATCAAAGCCACGCCCAAGGTGGAGGTGGAGCGCATCCACGAGAAGATTGTCAAGGTGAAGGCGGAGAAGCATGATCTGCCATCGATTCAGACCACCACACACTATCAGCATCCACATCGCCAGAATCTGGAGACCATTGTCCAGGCCATCAGGCATCTGGAGGGCGATCATCTCTTTGCGGACGGCAGTGGGGGCCAAGAGAAGTTTGGCCAGCAGCAGAATCTCCAGCAGCATCATCACCAAATGACTGGAGTGCACCACCAGCAGCAGCTGCATCATCATCGACTGGCGCAGGATGCACCGCTGGCCCTCACCACCACGGGCAAGCAACATGCGGCGCTGGCGGAACTGCGACCCTTCCTTCAACTGAAGAGCAGCGGCGGCAATAAGCAGGTTATCATTACGGCCAAGACGGCCAAAGATGCTGGCGGTTTGGTCTCGACGAGCAGCAGCAGTACCACCGTTACGCCGACGGCGATCTTTAAGGTGCAAACAACGGGCGGCCATGGGAGCAGTGGCAGCGGCAACGGCAGCGGCGGCAGCAGCCATCATTTACAAGCGGGCTCGACGACGGGCACCATAATCACTGGGAGCAATGGCAGCGGTGGAGCCCAGCAGCTGACCATCACCACAGCCTTGAAACAATGCCGGCCGGGCGTGATAGTGGCCAAGCAGCTGCCGTCGTCCTGATTCAATGGCCCCAAAAAGGGAGCGGGTTCGGGTTCGGGTTCCAGTTCGGGATGTATTGCGGCAGCTGGAGCAAAAGCAGGAGGAAGATGTGGCGCCCAACGTGGGGCAGGAGCTGTGACTGGAGCACGAGCTAGTATTAAAGGCGCTCGCCAGGAAGCAACAACCACAACCACCATACCGACAACAACAACAGCAACAACAACAGCAAAAACAGCAGCAACCACTCAACAGTTTACTAAGCAAAATCCTTTTGCTGCCTCCCGGCAACGTAACAGTAACAGTAACAGTAAAAGTAACAATAGTAGCAGTAACTTTAACCTTATTGTAAGCAGTAAAAGTAGTAGCATCATCAGCAGCAGCACCAGTAGCCACAGAAATGTTAAAGAGACTGTTACCAAACAGAGGCAGAGGCAGAGGCAAAAGTATGTAAATTAGTAAGAGTTTAACAACAAACAAACGAAAAGAAAAGAAACAAAAATGATGATATATATACCAAGCAAGACCTAAATCAATTTTTGTATTTTTGGGATATTTATGATTTAACTTCAAAACTCAACCAGACCTCTCTTTCCAAGCTTCAAACGCCAACAACAAACCACAACAACAACACACATATAGCCACTGTAATTAAATGCAAAGAAAGAAAGTACACACATAACATTTGTTCATTTATTGGTTAAGAAACTAGAATTAACAGATATAAAAAAACAAGAGTGCAACAATTGATTTTGAACAACATAGTAGAGCAGCAGGCAAACCGCAAAAACGACAAGAAACGAAACCGAAACAACAAAACAGAGTACAAAATGGAAAGAAAAAGAAAATAGACATAAAATTAATACATTTTTGTTTGGTTAATTCGTTTGAATTGCATGCAGTGAAAGGGCGCCAGAGATAATCGGAAGTTGAGATATGCCGGAAATTGTTTAAGCAAGTTTTATTGATGATTCCTTGAACTCTATAAACACCATCGCATTAATTTTTACCTTTTTTTAAATTATTTTTTCTTATCTTTAATTTTAACGTTTACTAGGCGTACATTATATACTTTGAATGGAACTTATTGAGTTTTTGTTGATATATTTCTGTAAAAAAAATTTTAAGTCTAATTATGTAAGCGAGTGCAGAGCGTGGGTGGTAAAGATTAAACATAAACAAAACATTAAAAAAAAATATTAAAAACAATCTAAAGGAAAAGAAAAAAAATGCAAAACGAAAAACAGAACTAAAGCAAGTGAAAACGTTTATTATATAAACTATTATATAAATATATATATATATATAAATATAAATTATATACAAATTACGCATACCTACCACAACATATATAAATAATACATGCAGAGTACATACGAACATAAGTAACGGAACATTACATAATATTACTACTAAACTACAATAAACAAATACTTTGCATACATATTTAATATGCTTTAGTAACTTAAGTACGACAAGTTCAGAGAGTTTAACCAAGAATCCCTTGATCCTTGATCCTTGATTCCCCCCCTCCACAAAAGAGCCCCCCTTTACGAAAAAATAAGAATGCGCACGTGCGAGCGAGAGGACCATGCAGCTGTCTCCCTTCGCCAAGCTGCGCCGACGCTGTGCGATTATTTGTTTTTAGTTTCTTCAGATATTTTTTGTGACAACGTCTGCCTGCTGGGACACCAAGTGTCCCTGTTTGGGCGCCAGTCTGCTGGGGATTCCCCCCGATTCGAATTGAAGAAACTGTTCTTCGCACAGCGTCGCCGCGGCTTGGCGTCCCGCATTTTCCACACAAGGAGAGAGACTATGAGAATGATGAAGGAAACAGCAAGTACATGCAGGCATCTACATTTTGTCAGCCACGCCCACTCGCCCACCCGTCCGCATTCGAAATATTTGATTAGGAAACATTATGCAGGCCGTTCATAGTTAAAGGAAACGAAATCGTGAAGAATATATAAGCCAGATCATGCAAAACAACAACCCCATATTACTACATACATTCATGCTCTATGAAAACAAAAAAATACAACAAATTATGTCAAATAAATGGTTTTTCCTTTTTCCCTCAACAAAATTAGAAACAGTTTTTTAATGGTGGGGTTTATAAAATATGTTTAATGGTTTAATGGCCACGAACAACACTATTTGAGGTGGATTTTCAATTGGCCACCATGGAGATGAACCCTGTGAAGATACCTATCACTAGCCTGGACTTAAACTAGATGGACTTAAAAACTACAATTGCTCCTCTTCGATTTGCAGATCGGTGGAGAAAACGTACATATCCCGGCGTCTGGCGAAAAGCATTTCCTGTCGCTTGGGATGGGTGGCTAAAGAGTGAACCACACCGCCATTATCACCTGAAATAAACAGAAAAATCAATGACTTATATAGTAAATATAACAATGCTTCCGCTGTACTTATGCGAATGCGCTGCAGAACTTTGGTTTCCAGTAGGTCGTAGACAAAGGCATCTCCATCGCTGGAACCAGTGACTATGTGAGCATCGTTCGCCAGTATTCCGCACTCGATGTGGTAGTCATCTCCTCGGTGTCCCTTGTATTCGGAAAGCAATCCTCCCGTCTCACAGTCCAGGAGTCGCACCACACTATCCTGGCAGCCCGCCACCAGGCATTGTTCATCCCGCGTCTGCGCCAGATAGGTGATGGGTTCACACACCTTGTCGCAGGTCAGTTCGCCCACCCGAATATCGTAGGTCCGCACACAGCCGTCCAGGGAAGCGGCGTAGATGCGATTCTCGTTTGTGGCCACCGTGGTGATGCAGTCGCGGGCCTCCTTCATCACCTGAACGGGGTCCAGGCGACGCGTTCGAATGTCCCAGCACATCACGGCATTGTCCCTGCCCCCGGAAATGGCTACGGAGGAGTCCTCGTTGAAGCAGACGCACCGGACGCCACCCGCGTGGCCACGCAGACGGCGAACTGGAGCTCCTGGAATAAATAATAATACATTTGATTAGTATGTACCAAAATGTCTCATATTTTTCGTGAGATAAGAAGATATTTTTAACATTAAGTTTTTTTTATATAATGCTTAAAAAGTATTTAATTCAATAACGTTAATATTAATAATTAAAAATCAAATATTTAAAGGAGGAATTAAAATGATACTTTATAGATAGTAAAGAGATTTAATAAGCACTACATATCATAAGAAAATTAAAATAACCTTAGAAACTGTAACGTTTGTTGTATTTAACACAAAAACAATATAAAACTGAAGTGATTCTGAGTTCTTATAACCTTAAAATGAATAGATATGAATAGGAGTAACTAAGTATTCCTTGATCCTGCAGTGATTAGTGAAAGCTTTTAAAAAACTAGATAACTAAAGTGTTTTATCTTACCAGTAGACACATCCCAGTAGATTATGCTCTTGTCTAAACTGGCGGAGACAATATAGCTGCTATCACAGCTTCCCTGAAATATGAAATATATATATGTATAATATATTTAAAAATGTTAATTAATAATTTTAAGTTTGTATTTCTTGAGGCCTACCGCCGCATCCGTCACTTCGTCTGCATGTCCTCCATAAGTCTTGAGGAGTAGTCCTGAAACAGGGTTCCATAGTTTTATCTTCTTGTCAGAGCCACAGCTTAAGCAATAAGTGCCATCAACTAATTAAATATATTAAAAATATTTGATATCGTTTAAAATTTTGGTAAATTTTATACAATAACCTAGTACTTATAATATATATAAGGACTCACCATTATAGCGCACAGCACGAACTGCTCCTTGCTTGCAGTCAATAGTGGTTTTAACATTAAAGTTTTCGAATTCCGGCATATTTCATAAATAATAGTAATACAATTCCTTCAAAAAAGGTAAACAAAATAGCGGTGGTTAAACATCGATAAATTCAAACCATCGATATTTGGCAGGGCGATCAAGCAATGTATCGATAGCCAATCCAAGTTTATATATAAAATTACCAAAAGCACCCTGCAAAGACAGCTGTGAATTTTAGAATTTACAAAATTAACTGATCTTTGACATAAACAATTCAACCGACCATGCTAATATACAAAAAGTAAAAATCAAATTCAAACATTGAGAGCGCGCCAGTTTACAAATGGCGCCGTGGTGATTTGGCGGTGGTGTGGTGAATTCATCGCAGCCGAAGAATGGGGAATTGGTAAAGGCGCCAATAAATTTGACCAGTAAAAGCGAAACAGAAACGTGCCAGAAACAGGAAAAGCGCCAAGAACTTTGGCAATAAAAATCAGTGCGCATGCTGCAGATCAATATTTGGACTTGCCAATAATTAGTTAGAGCCGCATATAGAACAAGGTAAGTGGTATTTACCAAATACCAAGGAAATCCAGCTGATTTAGCCGGTATACAGCTGACTTTGTTGTTCTTTTTTAAATGCTTTTCGCAGATGGCCAGCAAGCGGCTGATGCTCGATGTGGATGAGGAGGAGGAGGGGGATGGCGAGGGGGCATGTGGCCGGAAGAAGTTAGAAGATGGCCAGGAATCACAGGCTAAAAGACGCAAGCCAGCCGGCCAGCAGGAGACGCCACTGCAAAGGATGCTCAAGCGGCACATTCCCGCCAGCGCCATTCTATCGCCCATTACCGAATTGTCGCAGAATATGCGCGGAGCTCGTCTGGATGGCACACCCAAGTCCACCCAGAGATGCCCGTCGGCCAGAACGCTCAACACCTTCGGTAGCCTTTCCTCGCGAACCCTCAGCAGCTTCAGCAGCTCCTGTTCCAGTTACGATTCGGGCAACTCCCTGGACGATGAATACCTGGCCATGTTTGAGCAGGAGTCGGCCGAGGATCCCCATTTAGAGCTACCCGATGACCTAGAGGTTCTCCTCAGCGGCCAGCTCAAATCAGATGGCAACACAGAGATGGAATCCTCGAACAAAGAACGTGGTTCCTTGCGACGCTGTCTGAGTTTGTTACCCATTAATCAACCAGAGGACGAGGATCCACCTGGTCAAGGCGCCGCCAACATGCCCACCAAAAAACTGCAGGCAAGGACCCTCTCCATGAACGATGCCGAAATCATGAGCGCCTTGGGCGATGAACCTGAGTTGATTGGAGATCTTAGCAAGCCTTGTACACTGCCCTGTTTGCTCACAGGCATTAGACATCGTGATCTGAAGACCATCTCCAGTGAGACATTGGCCCGGTTGATTCAAGGCGAATTTGACCAGCAATTGGGCAGCCAGGGTGGCTATGAGATCATCGATTGTCGTTATCCCTACGAGTTTCTGGGCGGGCATATACAAGGAGCCAGGAATCTATACACACGTGGCCAAATTCAGGAAGCCTTTCCCGCCCTGCCTTCGAATCAGGAAGACCGTCGCATCTATGTTTTCCACTGCGAGTTCTCCTCGGAACGAGGCCCCAAACTATTGCGCTTTCTGCGTAGCAACGACAGGACCCAGCATGCCCACAACTACCCGGCATTGGACTACCCGGAGCTATATATCCTGCACAATGGGTACAAGGAGTTTTTTGGCCTGTACGCCCACCTGTGCGACCCCAGCCAATATGTGCCCATGCTGGCACCAGCGCACAACGATGAGTTTCGTTACTTTCGAGCCAAGACCAAATCCTGGCAATGTGGCGAGGGTGGAGACAGTGGAATCGGGGGTGGAGGCTCTCGAGGCCTTCGGAAGTCACGATCCCGCCTGCTCTACGCCGAATAACGTCTGCAGGGCACCAATCCGATCCCAAACCGATCTGCCTGCCATAAACCCACTGAGATCTCAAGCAGAACCAACGGTTGCCATATTTTACCACAGAACAATATGTTTTCTTTAAGGACGCAAATTTTTTGTTTATTTTTTCGTTGCGTTTTTCATATGTTGTGAAAGCCCTTTAGATTTACTTCTACATGTTTAATTCCAATTTCGAATTTTGGATTTTAGTTATGCGTTGTGTGAAAACGGGAACAGTAACAGGAATTGGATATATGTTCTCTAGTTAGTGAAAGTGAAAATTTCGAAATTTATTTTAGTTTACTTTTTGTGTTCGGCATTTATTAGTTAAGTTTAAAAAGAATTCCGTGTTTAATTATAGTTTAAATAAACCAAATTAATTTAAATATGTATAAATACAAACTGTGCTGAAAATTTATTGCTATTCAATTTATATCAGTCAAGTTTTGTATTGAAGTTCAAAACACAATTATTTACCTCATAAGCTCTAATTAAAATTATTCAACTATAAGCAAATTGAAAGATTTTGTAGTGAATAAGGTTTAAGGAAAACCGGAGACAAATCTAGTATCCCAAAAAAATATGTTGTGATACAATGAAAATAAAAATATTTTTCTAGACGGTATTTAAAGTCAATGTGCCATTAAATATATTATAAATATAAAATACTCAGATACATTATTTAATGGATCTCAACATAATAAGCCACAGTAACAAAACTTTATTAATAATTTTTTAACAGAACAGATTTTTGTGTTACTAAAAGTTAAGTTTAAATAATTGTTCGTGGTTAAGCCCGCGAAAGAAAATACTATTGATCTAATTAATCACATTACTAAATTTGGTTTTATAAAATAAAGTCATCAGAAAAAAAACAAGCTAAAAATTGGATTTTATTTATTTTACTTTCGGGTTTAATAAAGAATTGTATTTTACTTCTGGATGGGTTATACATTTGTTAACTATTTCTTTAACAAGAAACACGCGAACGCTTTAATCCAGCGGCCGGGGCAGCTCATAAATGTCTTTGATCCCAGTGAAATAAGCATCCAAACATACAAAATGAAAACGACTACGAATTTCCAAAAACATTTTTATTCAATATTTTTTAACAATGCTGACATTCGGATCTACAAAGTAATGTCAAATGCTTTGCAATTTGTGATTCGAGAGATTCCGAAAAGGGTTTTAGAAAATAAGGAAAGTAACTTTGATGGTCATTAAAAATAAATTCAGGTTTTACCAAAGTAATATAGTTTTCAAGTTTGGCTCTGTATACAACTTTTCTTTGCCAACTGATATCTCAGATAAGTCGACACCCTTCATCCAAAGGGATAAAAGACTGCAAGTCACAGATCTAAAGAGAACCCTAATCATCATCAGTAGGGGCTTCAAAGGGAGCCTTGCAACCGGCCTTTTCGTAAAAGTCCAATGGCAGGGTATCCTCATAGTCGTAATAATCGGAATCACGAGCACAACAGGGACCCAGTTCCATTTTGACCATCTTATCGCGCCAAAAGTCCAGAAGCTCCCTCTTGATGACCTCATCCCTTAGCTCGACAATCCACCCGTTGAACTCATCGGGGCCATAGAAACCAGCATCGCCCTTGTACTCCTGCAAGAGCTCGGCGGCCTTGTCCTGATCCTCCTTCGAGGGAGTGCTTCCGTCGAAGAGCAGCTTCCAGATGATCTCCCTGGCGGCGGCGGCCATCTTCTTCACGCTGGCCTGGTGAACGTTGTCCGGCACAATGATTTTGGTCAGGACGAAGCGCTTCATCAGCGAGCGGTATTCCTCGAGCGGCTTTTCCTTGGTGATTACGGCCTCAAATTCACCGGACAAGGCGGCGGTATCGTCGGCACTGAGTTCGCCCGGAGTGGTGGGCACAGCCGGACTGTTCGGATCCTCTGAAGCGTTCTCCTCGAGAGCAGCACGAACCTTTAGACTGGCCGCAAATGGAGCTGTACAACCGGCATGGGCGTAGAACTCCAATGGTGGTGTGTCGTCGCTATCGAACAGATCGCAATCGCGTGACCAGCAGGGACCCAACTGCTTCTTAACCAGGACTTCGCGCCAAAAGTCGAGGAGCTCCTTCTTGAGGACCTCGTCCCTCAGCTTGACAATCCATTCGTTGTAGGGCGTTGGGTCGTAGAAGCAGGCATCACCACGGTATTCCTCCAGCAGTTGGGTGGCCTTTTCAATATTTGATGGTGAAGCATCGGCTTCTTCGAATAACAAACGCCAGATGACGTCACGCGCCGATGCAGCCGTCCGATCGAAATTCTCCTTGGTGACATCATCGTCCACGATTTCGTCCACCTGCACACGTGTTTCGATCAGCTTCTGGTAGTCCTTTACAGGATCCTCCAGTCCAATAGTGTAGTCATTCTGCAGGGGTGATAGTTTTTGATATTTGTTTATATGCAAATAGTTTGTTTTGGGTTTTAGTTACCTGTGGAACTTTTTCCGCCGTTGCCATTTTGTCGGTTTGTGCGTCTTCGGCCTTTCGCTTGGACATGCCCCCAGGGATTATTCCACGATTTAAAACACTTCGCAGTATAGTATTTCGAATTACTGGGAAAATATTGTCGGTGTTGTCGGCAATAGGTGAGGTGACTAATTTGTAAGATCAACGCTTGTTTTCGGAGGCGTACGTATGTATGTATGGAAGTGCAAAATACGTAAAGAGTAGGGTACTTCTTTTGTTAGTATTTAAGTTAAGGTCATTCTTGCAATTGCGAATATCCCCAATAATTTAAAGCGAAATCGGTTGAAATTCGAACAGATGTAAATATTTCCTTCGAGTTCCAACCAAAGAAAGATTATGTATGTACAATGTACATTGTACATATATCAATAACTCCCATTAGTTTTTATTTAATTTGTTTGTTTGACTATTTATAATTGAAGAAAAATATATTTACAGATTATTACAACGAAATTTACAGACAACTGAAATTTTAAATAATAATAAACGGTTTAATTACTACAACATAGCACTTATGAATTATTCCTCCAATTTTTAAATACTAGTTTTTAATGTACAAATTATTTTAACTTTTCATTATTACAGCGCTGTGTTTATATTTTAAATTGTATTTTAACAATATTAGAAACTAAAAAAAAAAAACAAAACAAGCTAAGTAGTAGGTATTTAATTGGTATTTGCAAAATGCGTCTCTAGATATTTCTAGACGTCCACCTATCGATAGGCCTCTTCTTCTTCGATTTCAGGAGGCTTTGATTATCCTATCGATAGGTTATCGACTAGCATCGTCTGAAATTTTTTTCGAGGGCAGGTCGCAACGTCTATTTAAATTTCAAGTAATTTACACCTGGAGTTCAGTGGAAAATTGTGCAATCTTGTGCTGCAAACTACACGGATTCGTTTCCCCTAAAAATAAAGTGAATTTGATTGATTTTAAGCCATTGGTTCCGCCCCGCACTGACTGTGTGTGTTTGCGTGTGTGTGGTAGCGACTGTGTGCGACAAAGAAATTTGAGGTTAAGCAGCAAGCGAATTTCGCGTTAATGTTGCCCAAAAACCAACGATTACCGATCATATGCAATATAAAACACTTATAAAACATTCAAACTAAAGATACAGTCAATTAAAGTTGTTAAAAAGAGTTGTGGTCATACAAAGACACACACACACAAAGAAATTGCATTCGTGGAATTTGTGTCTGTGAGAGTCGAGCGGTGCGTCTGTGTGCGTGTGGACGTGAATTCAATTTTCTCGTGCACGAAAAGCAACGAAAAAGCTTCAAAAGTTATACTCAAATGTGTATGGCAATTGTGGTAAGTGTGGGCGGGATTGCGTTAAAACCACGTATTTTGCAAATAATACAATTTCATTGTTTAAAATTTCGCCAAACGACAATGGGCACCCATACACTGAAAGCCACGAAATGGGTGTGTTTGTGTGCGTTGGCATTTACATTCTATTTTGTTTTTTTCTTATTACCAACATTTGAAATGTTTAAATTTTCAACGATTTTCCGGTTCCTAATAGAGCATTTACTACTTTTTACAATCATTTTATTATTAAGAAGCCTACAGATACATCTGTATATGGCTTTGAGGAACAACAATACCCCATTATATGTACTTTCTCCTAAAGAGTGAAATAATTCGAGTTTGTACCATCTATAAATATTATGATACGGATTATAACTTAAAGTGAAAAAAAATATCTAAAGAATTCGATCCTTTTTGACAAATATTATGGAACAATGGTCATCTTAAACATTGATTGTAGGACAGCCCTAAAATAAATATTTTTGAATCCACTATAAATATGAAATAAAAATATTAAAGGATGTTAAATAAAAAATAAATTGGTTTTCCCCCTAATCCGTTTTAAGAGAAAGGAAAAACCAGCTCTTGAGGTGGCAGACTTAAAAGTGCAGGGTGAGAAATGGTTTCATCATAGAAAGAGCAATTATACACCAAATTAAATATGTAAACTCGCTCATTTTACTTTCATTTGACCCAGTTACCTGGTTAACTTCTGTCGCCAGTTGAAAGTAAATGACCCAGTTTATCATCCGAATGGAACTAGGACAGGCCAGGAAACTGCTAGCGAAATGCCCCAGAAAAACTTCAAACACTGGCGCTTCTTAATACTTTTCTTTTTGGCAGTTTTCTCGTTGTCTGCATACGTCATTTGCAGTTTTCATACACTGAAAGATATCTAATATCTAATCTACGAAGACATTTTAAGCAGATTTATCATATCAAAAAACGAGAGCAAACAGTAAACAAAGCGGCGGCCAAGAGATTCGTCTTTTGAGCAAAACAGGCAAGTCAGTTGGCATTTTATACTGAGCAAATGTGGACGTAGAAAAATTCAAGTGGAAAGATTTCCTCCTTCGCCCATAACATTTCAATTTTTACAATCAGTTATTCAACAAGGTTTGGCTTTGATTTGCTGTTATCTCTACTTGTCGCATTTTTGCGACGGTATTTATCTTGATCGCAATGTTTGCTAATCGATATCAGTAAATTGCGTCAATTGGAATTGAAAGAGCGCAAAAAAAACAACCCGGCAACAAAAACTTAATGGCAGATACCCACCAGGAGTTCATTTATTTTCCAACTGGTGGTTGAATATCACGCAGAGATCAGATTTTTAAATCAGTTCTCTTGGTTGATATAATTTTCGCTCTGCTTTATTTCCGTTTGGGGTCTCTTGTCCTTGAAAAAGTTCAATGATATTACCCCGGTCATACAAACAAAAAAAATCTCATTCGGTTGAGCGTTGATTTTCTCTTATTATTTATTCGTGATAAAAAACAAGAGCGAAAAGATAAGCATATCAAACAGGGAGAAGCGTTTTAGAATCCGGTTTATCACAAATTTTCCCAGCGAATTTAAAAAAAAGACGTCATTGGTTAGCACATTTACAGATTTCTGATAATTAAGTCTGGGGCACCAGTGTAAAAAAACATGGACCGTAAAAAAACAGGAATGGTTAAACAACTTTGTATAATTTTTGAAATGAAAAACCCTTTTAAAAAAAATTCTTTGAAAAATATCTGTCTATCTTAATAGCAAATTATTGTCGTAAATATACCTATTAAAGATTTCATTAAATTCGGTTTTCTTATCTAAAGTATTTCAAAGTGCTCGGATGATAAACTCTGCCCAAGGGTAAAAATAAAGATAGAGATTACGTATACGCATGTGTATATAGTTCCCTATTTTTTTGTTCATTCCAGCCGTTTGCATTTCGTTGTCTGTTTTCTGCGTTTATCTGCTTTCCACCAGTTCTTAAATGTTCTTTATTCCAACACATATAAGTATCAATTGAATTCTTCGAAATATTTAGAAGAATTTATGATCATTAAAGAGTTGCCACCAATTTGTTTGAGGTCATATTGATTAATGGGAATTTATGCGGTCTCGGAACATCTTTAAGAAAGCTTCTTTACTACGCCCAAGCTCGAATTCAACTGCGAACTTATTACACACATTTTCGCATTTGTCGTAAGCACTTGCTAATTAGAACTTGCGAAATGGAATGAGAGTTGCTGGGAACTTTCAGACTTTTGTTCCTGGGTTACATATCATTGGGCTGTATTTTTACTGCTGTCACGTTTTGGCAGCTTGTGTGCAGAATTTCACCAATACATGTCATATCCAAAAATAGACCAAAAAACAAACAACAAAGCATGCAATACGATTTACAAACGTCAGTGGGCGGTGAAGGGTGGTAGATTGTGGGGGAAATGTGGGAAATGCCAGCGCCCACCGACGACCCACGCCCATTTTATTCTATATATAGAGCGCGCGGTTTGTCCTCAATAGTTTTGCCCTGCCCTTGGTTAAGGCAAAATACCCAAAACTAACAAGTAAAACGACAATTTGCTAGTGTACACTGCACTTCTTGTCTCTAAATCAATGTCGAAGGACGTCCGATTTGTGGCAGAGACATGCATTTGATAATTGCAATAACAAAACGAGATTGTTTGTTATTATTTATTGTTGCTCTTTTATTTATTTTTTTTTTTATCAAAACCAAGCAACAACAGCTGTTCTCGATAAAAAGACGATGACGCATAAGAAGCCGCCTGCGGTGCGTCACTAAAAACATCGTCGACCACTTGGCAACTGAAAGACGGTTGGACTTTTAGTTCCCCCCATAGCTTCCATTTCCTGTTCATCTCCTCGACGACCAGGATGCACACAGAAAAGCTTCTGGGCAAATTCAAAATTTCCATTATGGCGAAATAACTAAATTAAGGATGGGTGTAGGTTGTGGGGTTGGCTGGTCATCCCCCCTCTTCCATTAGCAGTCGCAAAATCAATATCTCGGAACTTGGACTCAGTCTCATTTTGAGTTGCTTGACGTGCCCTAAGCGAAGCGTTGTCGGTCGGATTTTGTTTTGCGGTCTATTTGTCTATCTTGGGTTCCTAATACCCATACTTTCGAGACCTGAGAAGGTGTGTGCCTTATGGGTAGTTGGTTTGATTAACTCAGGTAAACAAAACTTAGGCAACCCTAATGTATGGGGCTCTTAGATCTTTCTAATGTTTAGTTAGTTAATAAGTTAGAACTGTTCCATTCTATAACTAGAAAACCTATTCAAAGTTTTAAAATAATTTTTGTTTTACACTAGAGGCTAGGGCTCTTAGAACTATATTATAAATATATTATAACTAGAATCTGCTAAACTTTTTAAAATATTTTTCCTTTAAATACTTTTTTTTATTCAAGGTCTTAAATAAATTGTATTATTCTTGTGCATTTTAACAAATACCAGTATTTTATTACAGTGCTCCTGTTTCGTATATAAATAATTGAAGTATGTCATGTCGAGTATATCATTGCTATTCATAAATCAAGTATTGCTACTTACAAAAGAATTATGCTGTCGTGAGTGTTCAAAATCATTGTTTAGTCTACCGATTTCCTGCCGAGTTTAATTGCTGAGACTTGAAGGAAAAGATTTGTTTGAATATGAATACATATGTATGAATAATCCATTTGATTTGGGCATATTGTGTGTCTGCGTTATGTCTGGCTTTGCCGTCTGGTTTTATTGACACCTGTAGACAGACATTGGTTTAGTAAGTTGAGGCTTAAATGGCGTTACCCTCATCACATTTCCCGTTAGTCATTTTCAACTTGTTTACAGGTTTGTAATAAAAAAAAACGATTATTCGCCGAAATATGGCCGTCTGCCTGCCCAGGACTGAATTTGAAGTCTAAACAAAACCTGAAAGCAGCAAAACACAAAAAAGGGAATTGAATCGAAGTACTTTGAACCCCAAATCCAATCCCAGGTACACCGGCATTCCATTGTTTTTTTTTTACCTCTAGATTTCTTGAGTTCCTACTTGGATTCTTTGTTTCTCCATTGTCTGCCCCGCTGTCTATGTTGTCTGGTCCTGGTCTCAGGAAAGTCCAATCAACTTAGAGCTTAGACAAAACGCATCTGCTACCCCAAGAAAAGAAAGGGTAAATGTCAATAGAACAATTTTGCAACAGGGGTTTTAAGAGTTTTGACTTAATTGCAACTATATTTTGTAATCCTTTTAAGACTAGCTCAAGCAAAGTTAAAGTTTTTGTCATTTAAGCTTGTTAGTTAAAAATCCAAAAATAGGTATTACCAGATTCGCGTTAAATTAAATTACCCTAAATTAAATTAAATACAACGATGTTGGAGAATCGTAGTTGTATCGATGGGCAGCCAAGTGTGACAAACACGTACAAATACATTCAAACATATATTAAGTAACAATTACTATATATACCCACAATTAGGTATTAGTGTCGTCATGCCATTTGCCTACATCTCGATAAGATTCAACTGGTTTAAATGTGCTAGTTGCACATTTTCATATTAAGTTACATGTTTTTGTGCGCCTTAGCCTTCATTAACTGTGCATATAAAAACCGCATTTAACTTTGTTTATTGCCCTTAAATAACAACTGACCTTGGTATACCGCAAAATTCTATCTGCCCGCAAAACTTTCTTTAGCCAAGTTTGTACACTTAAACAATATATGTATGCATATTTGCATATATACTAGATAAGATAAATTCAATTTTTTGCGTCGTCATATCCTTTTGATATTATCAATGCATTAGTTATGTGATTATTAAAAGGTTATAGCTTTCCCACACAATTAAAATGTATTATGGCCATTCCATTTCATATCCACTAATTTTATGGCTTTATCCATTTGTGGCACTTTAAAATAGCGAGCAATTACATGAATTTATGATTCGTTTTGGCCATAAATGAAAGTGTTTTTTTGGGCAATGTCAACACCAGTTTGTTTTTGTGTAGAATTTATTTCGCTCTAAAATACAGCTATGTTCAAAATAATAGTGGTGGCATCGAAGTGATTTGTTTTTATTATTATTTATTTATTTATTTATTTATTTATTATTTATTTTAATAAGGTACAAATATATGCATAGAATATTTAACAAAACATATTTGCTTTAATGCAGGGTTTTCATTTAGGTTTAAAACTTGTGACTAGTAGCTCTATAAATGTAAGTTTTAATTTGTCTCGTCAGGATATCAATTCTTCATAAATAGTAAATATTTCTAAATATTATTTAAACAACTAAATTGGTTTACATAGTATATCCCCCTAGTGTTTTTGCACATCGGACCTTTTAAAGAGCTTTAAATATGCAGCAGACTGTAAAGTGGGGGGTGAAGTGGGGGTGGTGGGGCCGAGGGAAAATCTGTTCGCGTGAGCAATTGGAGAGATGTGCGTCACGTCATGCGACTCTCTCCGCTCTCTCCGGCAATGGAGACTTACTGCCGGAAAGAGGGACATGATGTAGTCGTACAAATGGGCGGCGGTGAGTTGACAATCGCCAGTCGATAGCAAAACATGAGAGAGTGCTCATCGCGCAGCAATACGCGTCTGCTTAGTGTGGTAATCGTAATCGATCAACGTCTCAGAATCGACACTTGTCGATATTTAATCGAGATCCTTTCTCGCCGCATCACAGGCGATTAACGATAGGTAATTCTGATTAATCTGCCTGTAAGATTGAGAACGACCATCGTCAGTGGGTCTCTAAAAACTGAGAGAAGAGAGTGCTTTCCGATCCGCGGATAAAATCGATTAGGGTCTTGGCAACGACACCGTGCAATATCTAATCGGGATTTCATATAGCCGCATTACAATCCCTATCGTAATCAGCAAATAACCATTTGTTTTACCTCGTTCATATGTATATAGTATATAAATTTATACATTCGCCTGTGTGACTTTTCAATTTCGCCAAGACGCAAAATACAAAAAATACATTGCATAAGTCACAAGTAAAAACCGAGTGGGAAATAGCATCAACAAAAAGTGTTGTTGCTTAACGTGTCATGAGGTAAACACACAGACTGGCAAATCTAGTATGTACTAGTATGTGCTATGTGCATACGAACAACAAGTAAAAGTTTTCACTTCTATCAACAAAAAAAATTCCTATTTTTTGCACCCGCTTCTTAATTAGTTCCACGCGTTTCTATAACATTCGCTATTCAATTATGTATTCCGCTAAAATCCAAATTCCTCTTTCCGGTAACAATCGTTGGGCAAAAATTCAATGGAACTGCTCGCCTACTTTAGGCCAAAAATGCAAAAATAAACACAGGTCGCATTGTGCCCATAAAAAATGGAATATTTGCTTTAAGAGTTATCGCGTTTGTGTAGATATGAACGTTGTATATATGCGAAATACATATTATACAATCATTGTTCTGTTTCTGTCTTTATTTGTGAACTCATTTTATATATACATATGTTTTTCACAAACAACAACGGAACATAAATATTGTAAATAAATGTTCTTGGAAACGACCAGAAATTATCTTGGATCGCTTTAAGGGAATATTTTTAATGCCTGTCTTCAGAGAGCAGATGACCGACACATTTAAAATTTGACTGAAAGTTTTGAAAATATCCACTTGACTTATGAATTCTATATATTAAATTTTTTTCCACGATTTAATCTTTTTTTATTCTTTTTGTCTTTGCATGTAATTTTTGGCAGTGCCTCTTTGCCTTGCAAATCGATTTTTATAAACAATGAGAAATTATTTTCCCAAAAAGCTTTTAGCTGAGGAAATGGGCTGAAATGCAGCTTCCTTTAAATTATTAAATACTTTTGAAAGGGTTTTTTTTATATCTTTTTGGGTCAGCCAATACTAAAAATAAGCAGACAACTTTAAATATATAAAAGCTATAAATATAATTTCCAAATATATTGTCTCACGTATTCTATTTGTATTTGCAGTTGGTTCGACCTGTTCCCACATCTATGGAGTTTCATCTAGACAGTGCAGAATACTGCCAGGCACAGCACAAATAAAAAGTGAGTATAAGAAATTTTCGCCAAGGATCTGGGCTTTTTGTTTAATTAATTGGCTCAAGTTGCCCGTGCGTGAGAGTGGATGGCAATGGAAAGGTCACTTGACTTACTGTGAATTAAGCGCGGTGACCTTTCTGGACAATTGCCTGCTTGACCCGCCCTCAAGAAGCAAGAACCAAGAACCAAGAACCCCATGGATAAGAGGCCAGTGTGAGACGAAAATGGCGAAAGTCTCAATTATTTCATTGCGTGTAATTGAGCTAAATTGTTTTTTAGTTTCCCACGAATTGTTTTCAATTGAATGAACAAAGAGAAACTTAACAAAGAAGCTTGAACCAACTAACGCCAGATTTGTCTGGAACTCGACTCATTCATGTCTTATTCCTTGCAGGTAAGCAATCCTCAAACAAGGCGGTGATAGCCTGAGTGAACACGGTCACCTCTTCGGAAGTCGACGTCGATAAGTGGTGTGGATCAGAAAAGCTTAATACCGTCAACGGATCAGCCGAAAAAGCGGCAGCAGCGGCCCGAAAAAGCCAAAGTCTGTTCATCTATGGGAGAGAAAGCATAAAACTAAATTTTTAGCATCGCGGTGATCGCAGATCATATCACAACAAGGAGAAATTTTAATTTTTAACAACGAAACTGAGAAAAAGTTGTAATATTTTCAAAAAAACAAAACTAAAACTGAGCCCAAATCATTTTAGTTAGCTTAAAATTCGTGTGACACTTAACAGGGAATCACTTTTAGGTCACAGAAAACTGATTAATTTTCTTTGTGATAGAAGAAAAAATCCAAAATTGTACTTAATTAAAAAAAAACAATTAATTTTTACTTAAACAATAACTTAGGTTTGTGTTTTGGTGTAAATCATTTAAGCATACAATACGAAAACAGAGTTAATTATATTTATATTTATTTTTTATGCATAACTCAAACCTAAACGAAATTCAATTGTAAGCCTCTAACACGCTGAATTTTTAATCTAGAAATCGAACTACTTCCGTTTAAAAAAAACCAATCAAATCTTTGTGAAAACCAAACAAAATCCACACCTCAGATTGTAAGAAAGTAACAGACTTAACGTAAATAAGTGCACACGAGTCAGACAAACTCCTTCAGAACTGCTTTTGTAATTGTTTATGAGCATCACCATGCGTCAAAAAGATCTGCGCCCAGCCCCCGCTCTAATTGAGTACAAGGGCATGAAGTTCCTAATCACCGATCGACCATCAGACATAACAATTAACCATTACATTACGGTGAGCCCCTCCCCACAATTATCATCTTTCTCCGAAAGCCCTATTAATTTTGTATATCATTCTCATAGGAGCTGAAAAAGAACAATGTCAACACTGTGGTGCGCGTATGTGAGCCCAGTTATAATACCGACGAGCTCGAGACACAAGGCATTACCGTCAAGGACCTGGCCTTTGAGGATGGCACCTTCCCGCCTCAACAAGTCGTTGACGAGTGGTTTGAGGTCTTAAAGGATAAGTAAGTAAAATGATAACGCTCTTGCATACGCGTAGATTATTATTATTTAATTAATTATATCTTTGAATTTTAATCTCATTTTTGACATTGAGCGTAAGACATTTCTTTAAATTTCACAATATAACTGGAGCTCTGAACCTATTTTAATGTAGTATTGGCCATTACCCAGTAATTAGAATAACTAAGAAGTAATATTTGTGTTATTTTTAAATTTAACAAAACAACGTATTTAACTAACAGTGTAAAAGTATTTAACTTTTTTCCAAACTAATTCTATAAAATCACAGCTCCAGTGCAAATAGTTCCTTTACTAATCATAGTCTAAACATATGTAATTATATTATATTATTTCATATAAAATATAATTTCCAAGTTATCATTAACCATATTCGAAGTATACGCGAATATACAAAAAAAAACCAAGTGATTTTTATCAATTTATTCAGTATTATTTATTGCTTTGTGCCACTCAATCGAAAGATAAGCCAAAATTTCTAAATTCAAAATAAAAGCCAACGAAAATCAATAAGCTGCGCTAGCCACATATCCAATGAGCTGTTTAAAAAAATGATCAACACTTTTAAAGAGGAGACCATTTAGAAGATGTATAGAACCTTGCTTTGTAGTCCCCGCTATCGCCTTAGCTGCTATCTTTGTATAATTTCCAATGCTCATAATCAGTTATAAGTTGCTGTACAGATTTTAGTTAAATCAAAACTTCTGCACATACCTTCTCTCATTCTATCTCTCTCTCTCAACGTTATCGTTTTGTAAAAACTTCAAATTCCACTCACCATAAACAACTTTAATTACCTGTAAGCTATCAAACTTGATCAACGAGAACTTACCTTACCTTCCTGTATGATTCGTTTCGTGTGCTATTTTATGATACCGCTGCTGCTGTGCCCTAGTTTTAGAAAGTCCACAAGCGCCACACTATCCTACTACAAACATAAGCGATTCTCGCTCAGACACATACCAAAAACAGTTCCACCAACAACAGCAACTGCAACTGCAATAAGAACTTCAGCAACCAGAGCCAGTCTATCCGCAGCATCAGGTCGGGCCACAGATACAATTCCCCTAACAGCCAATGATAATCTCCATGATAATGGCGAGGCAGCAACGGCAATTTATAATAATACTGCATTTGTTGATAATGAAACTTGTCGGTAAGCGTAGATCTAGATTTATAGGCCTTAGCCGAAAGTAATTTTAGTTTATACCAATTAATGTAAGAAGAGGTCTTAATTTTACGTTGAAGTCTATAAAGTGTTGAATTTTTCCTTTTTAGATATCAACAAAATCCTGAGGCTTGCGTCGCGGTTCATTGTGTAGCTGGTCTGGGACGGGCTCCTGTTCTGGTTGCCTTGGCACTGATTGAATTGGGCTTAAAATACGAGGCAGCTGTGGAAATGATTAGAGAGTGAGTACTACTTGAACTCAGCTGAATGAATATTATTTAATTAACAATCCAATTTCTTACAGTAAACGACGTGGGGCCATCAATGCCAAGCAGCTATCCTTTTTGGAGAAATACAAGCCAAAGGCGCGACTAAAGCACAAAAATGGCCATAAGAATTCATGTTGTGTGCAATAGATTTCCAAAACCATATGTATATTCCCACCAGATAAAAAGTGTTCATTTTTTCAAAAACAAAAAAAAAACAGCAAGCGGAATAGAAAAGCAAGTAAAGAAATAAAAATTGATAGGCAACAAACACGAGAAATGGAAATAACCACAGTACCACAGTGAACCCAAAATTGTAGATGGAAAATATGAACCACAGCCCCAGTAATTATTAAACCTCAAATCTCAAGTTGAAATGTATTGGCAACAATTGTGTAATTTGTATGTATTAATTAATGTAATTTATATTGTTATTTTACGATTCGATTCAGCCACTCCATACCAAGCTAAAAAAAAGAGTTTAATTTTACACCCACAGCATATATAAACAGACAAGCATATATTAATTACGAGCAGCCCGTATACCCCATTAAATGGTTGTAGAAGGCTCGTTAAAGTAGTAAAACCATGTTGTTCTGGAATAAACAAAATAATTAAATGTAAAATCTGCAAACGAAGGAAAATATTACAAAATTCTTTAAAGAGCAAACTAGAGGAAAAGTGTATGATGAAGAAAAAAATATCTACTTAACAGTCATATTCTAAAAACGGGAAAATGTACTTAATCGCATATTAGTTTGGAGCTTAGCCCCCTTGAAATCTGCTTTATTTATATTTTACTGTTCATTTTCCCTTAAACTGTGGGCACATTGTAGCACTTAGCGAAGCAAGGCATGTTTCTAAATAGATATTTGAGTTTTAACTTTTACTGCAAAAAAAAAACATTTATTTATATTACAGTCTGCTTTTTAAATGCTAAATACGATGCTTATTTGAAAACTACAATACCATCAGCCTCGCACATATATGCATAAACTCTTATGCATGTGTGTGTGACTCAAATATATATATCTATATATATATAATTAAATATATATATGTAGTATAAGACTACAAAGTTTTACATTAATGACTACATACATTTAAACTCAAAAATTGCAAGCAGTAATCAAGCAAATAAAAAGAATACTTCAAACCAGCAACAGCAACAGCAACAAAAAGTTAAAGAAAAATTGAGAAAATGAACATGAAAAAAAAAATTAAACCTTATTGTAAACAACAAATTAACAAATTATTGTGTCTGAGAGGAGGCGATGAAAAAGCACGAAGAAAAAACACAAGCCGAAAATAAAAACAAATATAATGCTTACAAAATAATTTATCCAAAATATTGAATTGTAATTTTTTAAAATGTTAGTCATTACAAGGAAATAAAAATGATCTATATTAAAACTAAAAAATCACCTCTATTGCTTCATTTCTATTTCATTTTTAATAATTTGTGTTGGACATATTTTATATATTTCTAACGTCTGTATAAGAGTTGAAGTAAACTGTTCCAATTAGTGAAGTGTAAATGTTAATCCATTCGTTCTAATGAGATTTAGTTACACTGCAGGTTCCATAAATCTGAAATCTTCCGTTCATTTAACTTTTTACAGCTAAGGAAAGATAACGAAATGTCGAAATGGAACTATTTACTATTATTGGTTTTCTTGATGCCACGTAGCCATTCCAAAGAAAACAGTGTAAGATGTGCTTTCAACCCAATTGAAAAATATATTATTAACACAAAACTATCTAAAGACTACGCTGTTTGATGCAACCGAGGATCTTTTTTTCAAAATTGGGCTGTATCAGAACTCGCTGTACAATCCAAATCAAACTTGCCCGAATAGGTTTGTAAAATAGTTTTGTTAATCAATTAATTATATGAAAGTATTTTTTTTTCGTGCTTCAGAAGTCCCCAATTGGTTAAAGGTTTGTTTGGAAAATATGTGTTTTTTCAGAACTTTATTAAAATAATATGAAATATTTCAGAAGCAAACGATACGGTAAGTATATATTTATTTGATGTCATATCAGTAATGGGTTCGACTTTTCCAACTGAGCTAATGTAAGCTCGTTTTTCACATAGAGTAGGTATATCTAAAAAAACGTCAACCATTTTTCATATACGCGGCTCCTGAATTAATCAGATTTTTTAAAGATCTTTATTAATATTTTTAGCACCGTTAAATAGACAAATAAAAATCTAAAAATTAACAGATTATCACCATACAGAAAGTCCGGTTTTCGTATGCTCAGTTGGAAAAACCCTTTCATTAAAAACACAACGTTTTCTTTCTTCCAGTATACTAATGCCAGTAATTTACTGGAAGCAATTCTGGAACAATATTTGTTTCTGAGGAAAACTTATAAAAATGTCTGCACAATAAAAACAGGAACTAACATAAAGGGATCTTGAATATGTCATTCAACAAATATATTAAAAATGATTTAATTTTAATATTTAAAACTAAAAACGATTAAAGTTTAATCCATTTATTCTATTTAAATTTTTTATTTGGCCTATCATAGATCAGCGGTCGGTCAGCGGGCATAGGGCACAGCTCTGCTTAGCCTCTGCCGGCACACGAACAGCGTCGTCAAACGCACATCGTTTGTCACGGTATCAGTCACGACTTTCTTGCAAATATCCGGCTTTCCCAGTTTGTTTTTGCAGCACTTACCTCATTAAAAATCCACAAAAATATTTAAAACCTGTATAGTATTTTTCGACGATTAGTTCATTTATTTTACTAAGGAAATTTAAAATGTTTATCGTTTTTTAGGTTTAGTGGACATGTCATATACATACATTGTGTATACGAGTCGAAATTGAATAAAACGTGATTAAAAAGAGTCGTAAACTCATAGAGATGAACATTAATTGGTTAATGAATTTGCAAATCCACGTATACCAATATGACTAGATTTTGTTATTTAATATTTTTTATACATCTTACAACGTTTAAACACTCCAAAAAATAAATGTTGTATTAGTAATTCAGTTTGTTTAAAAAATTACATTTAATAGTTAACTGTTTTCATTCCATTTTTCATTCATCATAGCATCTTAGCTCAGCTTTAAAAACGCCGTTTCATTTTGATTTCATTTCCTTGAAAATAATCTTAATTTAACTTGTCTTCTTTACAATATTACATTTTTTGGTTTTGGTTTCTATGCATAAATTCATAAAGTTCATAAATTGTTTCCACATTCGAAATACGATACAAAGGCAATTAGGTTTTGGTATTCATTTAAGGTTAGGATTTCCGTTCCATATTCTGTGTAAATCTTGCTAAAGTTTTTTTTTACTAAGTGTAAGGCCAGAATAGAGCAGTAAATTATAGATGGGTTTTCAAACTCAGCATTGAACAAGTATTGCATACTTACAGGTGGTCCTAAATTTTGTCTTTATAAATCTGTGCGTTAACTCTGCCGTTTTAAAAACACTATACTCAATAATATACACTTTACAAAGAAGAAAAAACGTATAAAAAATGTTGCCACATTAAGATTAAATATTATCTGTTTTAAACCGTTTTGGGTGTGTACAAATAAGAAAACCATATTTTCTTTTCGGCTGCAACAAAACGACAATATTTTCCTAACAAAATTAAGTGTTTTTTGTCTTGTTTTTTTGTTATTTTATCATTTCATTGTATTATCATATTTATAAGTTTTCATTGTTGTAAAAAATCAACTAAGTTTTATAAAATTACAAAAATAATTGTCATTCGAATTATTTTTGTTCACCTTTACTAATTTTTGCTAATTTATTTGGCATTGGTTGCACCATATTAATCTATCAAAATAGTCAGTGAAACGTTGGTTTTTTTATCTATAGGCGTTATGTATATATAAAAAAACGTTGCTTTCATTAATATTCTAAGAAACTGTGGAAGGAGCAGTTTGGGACTAGGAAACTCATCGTGTGAAAAAGGGTTTCTCCTTAAATGGTTGGTCTTTAAGTTGCCTCCTCGTTTAGCAGCAGCCTTCATCAATTCACTACATTTGTAAAATAAAGTAAGACCCAGTTTCATAACATTTTGGCGCAGTTTGTAAGTCTAAGAGTTGAAATTGTTCTTGCTTATTTAGTGGTTTTAAGTACCGAAGATTGTGCCAGTTTTGGTTTGGTTTGCGTTGTTGTTAAACATTCGACAAGTATTGGACTACGGCATAGTTTACAATCTATAGAAAACAAAAATATATATATATATGTATAAACAACAAACCGATCGTAGTCGCGTATAGTACATAATATTTGTATAATATATAGTTTTGTGTACATTATCCCTAACGCATAAAGCTGTGCGTCAGGTAAAACATTAAAATTATGGTCAGCGGCAGCAGCTGAAGAGTTAAACCCAGCCGCGAGGCATTGCCGCAATAGGTGTACAGTTCCTCCTACAAAAGGGAAATATAAAATGGAATTAATATCTAATATTAATAACTAAATAAAACATAATAACGAAGACTAAAAGAAAATTAAACCTATTTGATATAACTTAAGAGGTAGAGTAATAATGAGTACATTTTTACGTGGACTTAGAAAGATATAAACCTCCAAGTATTCTACTCCAATACTCACATCCTCGTGCTCCGTGTAGCACTCTTCGATGCGTCGCCGTTCGTAGAAGCTCATATTGAGCTTATAGCAGGGAAACTCGTTATCGTATTCCATCCTTTGCGGCTCGGTGGTCAGGCGAACGCTACGCGATGGCATCAGAACATTGACCACCACAAGGACCAGATTCGAGTTGGGTATCTTCTTGACCCAAAAAGGTCGTGTTGAGGGCGCCTCCACGACGTCATTGATGCCCGCCAGGGCAGCGGGCTGCAGGGCGTACAGAGTGGATCGCATGTCACAGGCCTTATAGATGGGATCCGGTTCGGGTTCATCGAACATGGCGTTCTCATCGTCACTATCGTCTTTTGGCTTGGCAGCCGAGGCTTTTCCACCATCGCCAACGGCCACATACTCGTCTTCGATCTCATCCGTATACTCCATAACTAAAATGGGATAGAAAATTATATAATTATATATTATTTTAAAATGTTCCCCCAAAATGTAGCTTCACTGGAGTATATGTTAAAATTAAGGATTAAAAAACACTCTACTGGAGAAAAATTAATCAAGGAAATTTGTATCTTTGATTCTAAAAGTCAAATTGTTAAGCTAGTTTAAGGTATATATGTTTAAACTTATTGTTGGAACACAAGGGTTTAGAGAGTTTCTGGTTAATAAATGTAACTAATAATGAAAAACGCTTACATGGTGCTCCTTCAGCCCACCACTGAATCCTCTGGTACTGAAAGAAAAGTCGGCCCACCAACCACTTCCAGCCAAAACTTAATAGTCGAAGGGGCTTAAATAGGGAAAATACGATTCAGTTAAATTTTAGGCAACTAAAATTTCAAGACTTACATGCAACAGGCTGTGGCCATCGCTACCCGCCTTTGGCTCCTCCTTGCACTGTTCCTGGTAGTCATAGACCTCGATGCTCAGAAAGATGCCCTTTTCCACCATTGCCGACATCACATCGCCGTGGAACTCCCCAAAGAACTTGCCAGTGGTGTTGATATTCTGTCCAATCACTACGTATGCATTATTGTCAATCACCACACAATCCACTTCGTCGTCCGTGCAGATGGACTGGCAATGGTTGCACTATAAAAAGATTACAGGTAATTATATTCCATATCAATCTAGCAGCTCTACAAAAAATTATAAAATATATGATAGATCTTTTAAACTGTAACATAAACAAAGAATGATTCTACAACTAACTACAGCGTTGAAAAACCCATAGACAGAAGATGATAACAGACTAAAAGAAATCTTTAATAGTGTTGTAAAGGTGCCTTCGACTCACATGATCCACAGCGGTGATGTTAAAGAAGCGCTCCCACATGCGAGCGTGGGAAAACTGAAAGCCAACCACGCAGGCCGGAGCCTCCTTGCCGCCGTCCCTTGGAAAGATGGCGTGCGAGGCGGTGATCTTGACCTCGCTATCCTCCATGTCATCGTCGTAGTGCTTCACCGAGTAGACGAAGCTCTCCGCTCGGTCTTCGTGGTGCTGCAGGATGGCACTCTTGTACCAGGTTTCGTCGATGGCCGTGGTGTGGTAGTCGCCGAATTCCCGATCCGTGTCCACCTCAACCTCCCCGAAAATGAACTGCCAGCGGGTCAGGCCACTCATGGTGGCCACAAAACGCAGATCAGCACCGAACCGCTCTATCAACTGGCGCTCCTCGTTGCTCTCAAATCGCCAAACGCCGTAACTGGAGTTCGTGACCTTGGCATCGAAGATAAGCAGGTTAACCAGCTCCTTGTTGCAATAGTAGGCATCATCACCCAGGGTTTTGCGGCCACAGTTTACTGAAAAGAAATAGGTTATCGTTAATATTATGAGATTATAAAATAATTTATATTTCTGGAATTGCAATGTATGTATACTCCAAATATAAGCACACTCACGTTCATCTTTGTCATCCCAATCAGATTCATCCTCGGCATATTGCTCTGGCCACTTCCAATCGTTCATCATCTTGCCCAGAAACTCGCGTAACTCATCCTCAGGTGTTTTGAACTCATGACCCTCCAGATAATGATACTTGCAGTAAACCCTAAGGAATAACGAAAATGTAATTGGGTTACATTTCCGGAAGAAAAGCTCTTTGGCCTACCAATCGGGATGAACCTTCCAATTGTCGCCCATAAAGAAATCCGATATGTTTATCTTCATGTGCTTGTTCTTGTCCACCTCCTCTCCCACCTTAATCCAAGTTTTGCCATATTCGCTGGGCATTACGATGCCCAAGGTGAATGGAGTGTTAGGCAAGGGGGCAAAGAAATAGTCCTGTTTCTCCTCGGAAACGCGGCGCATCTTGTCGTAGTGAAACTTCACAGAAATGCTCTTGAACTCATTGCTTTGGTGCCGCACCATGGCATTGCGAATATTGAGAATGGATTCGCCTGGCTCACGAGGACTTTGGTCCTCGAAGAGATGCTCCACCTCGGTAAAGTCGATGCTGTTGTAGTTCGGATTCATTTTGCCGTTGGTCTGGGGTAGAAATAATTATAAATGTTTTAGTTTAACAGTTTAAAGAATTTAAGGTATTATGATTATTATTATTAGATGACGAGAACTTACCCCAATGGGACGCAGATCGGGATGCAGCAGAACATATCCATTGTTGGACACCACAAAGGAGTATCCATTAACACCCAGCTAAAAAAATGTGGTTCATGAGTACCCAAAATGTAGTCAAAACTCCTCTTTACCCACCTTGTAGGGTAGTGTCAGCTTGTCTATATCTTCCACGGGCACGTCTGTTCCAGCGACTCCCAACAAACGTGCCCTCGGATTGGTGCTGTTGGCGTGGCGATAAAAGCGATCGAATGCGGGCACCCCCACAGAAATCATTAATCGAGGACGTCGCTC